TTTCTTCACATTATAAATGGACCGCAGTCATGGATATAAAAATGATGGTCGTGTTTTTTAACAGCCAGTTTAAACTGCCATTTCTCAGACACACGGCTGTGTTTTTTTTTTTTGGAGCAAACACGTGTTGTTTCCACGCTGAATTATTATTATTTCCATAGTTACTCACGGGTCAGATATAATACATTGTCTGCTGCTCTCTCTCCCCCCTCTCCCCCTCCTCCTCCCCATCCACTCAAAAACATGTGTGAGCAGTCGGGAGCTGACCGTGGTGCTGATCAGCACCAGCGCTCGACACATCATTCATTTCGTCAAGCTGACTGTGGATACCTGATTAAAAGAAAAAGACACGGCTTCTGATTTGTTTGTTTTTTTTAAAATACTACGCTAACTTTTTTGAATATTCGCGCGTTCCCGTTGCCTAGTCTCGGGTGCTGAGGGGGCGAAAAACCCCCGTGTTCCTCCTCTTGCGTCTGCTGCTGCTGCTGCTGCTGCCGTGTCTTGGCTCCAGGACTCGTCTTCTCGCTCTACACTGTCCCCAGTCGCTCCAGCCCCACCGATGCTCACACACACACACTCCTGCTCCTCCTCCTGAGCCTGAGCTCAGCGGCCTGAGTGACACATGCTGCGGCAGTCTGCCCGCTGTATGATCCGTGGATTAGCTATATGCTAATATCGATAGGTGAGAGGAGCCAGCGGAGGCTTCCCGAGTCTGAAAAGGCTCCTTTGCGGCTATGGCTGAAGGTGGAGAAGGAGAGGATGAGATCCAGTTCCTCAGAACTGTAAGTACGATTCCTCTCGCTTCCACTTGAAGCTCTGCTCTGATCTGTTGGCTGTGGAGAAATGTGGATCTCTCGGGGTGTTTTTTCTTCTCTTCTCTCTCTCCCGGGTTGACTGGATGATAATGGGATCATTCCGGTCGATCACCGTGATGTTTTTCACCCGAAAGCCTTTGATGAACCTCGTGTCTGTGTAGATCAAATACAGGCGGTGTTTCTGCCTATTGTTTTGCGCATCGCTCACTGACAGCTATTGTCTTATCTGCAGTCTGTGTGTCAAGAAGTTGACAGCAGTGTTGGCTGTTTCTGAAAGAAAGAAAAAAAAAGTTACACGGAAAATATTTCCACTTTTGTGACTGATATGACCTACAAGTTGTCATGGCAGGAACTTGTCTCTCGCGACTACTTCAAATGAAGCAAGGTATTAAATTTAACACGGTAGGAGAGTGTTGTCCCCCCCCCAGCTGCAGGTGCAGTAAGAAAAAAAAAAAACTTGTTGGAAAAGGCTCAGTTATAGACAGAAAGACTCTACATTCTCGACTCTCGACTCTCGACTCCCTGACAGAGGATGAACAGTTTCCACGGCTGACAAAGATCGATGCTGACATGTACTGCTCATCTATGGTAAAACGAAAAGAGAGGCAAAAAAAAAACAAAAAAAAAAAACAGAGGCACACGGTGTCTGGAACTGATGAAGGAGCCGAGCACTGGAGGTCTTCCAGGACCCCCAACCAAACAGTATCAGGTGTTTGGTTGCAATCTCTCTGCAGCTCGTAATTTCCCTTTTACCAGGCTACACACACACACACACACAGGCACAGCTGGCTGAACCATGACAGACATTCTTAATTCCTAATACAATAGAGATTATTATGGGTTGGTTATTTTTTAAGAATTAAATCAAAGATTTTTTTTTCCGATGATCTATGTTTATTTCTGTGGTTCTGATTTTTTTTTTTAAGAATGGCCACAAACCACTTGTAACTGGATGTTTTTTAACAGCAGATTTCATAAACACCTGTGTTACGTCGAGGAACTTCCCAAAACAAATAAGATGTTGGGTATTTACAATTGTGTTACAAAAAAAAATCGGCATTTCATGTTCCAGATTTTAACATATCTCTAAAAACGATGTCATCACCTTGACATTGAATATCATCAATCGAGTCCTACGACTTCAAGAGTGCTTTTGTTTTTGATACATTGATTGATTTTTACGGGAATGGCGTTTTAATAAGCACAACATTTTGTCCAAATGCCACAGGATTTCACGCTGTTCGTGTAGCAGATCTGGAAATTTGTGAGATCTTAAATAATCGAGGACTCATAATAATCGCTCCACGACGTGGTGTAAGAAAATCACAGACAACGAGAACTGACTGAGCTCTGGATGGAGGCGCTTTTCAGTTTCCTCTTTCTCTTTCTTTTATTGTGACAAACCATAACATTTCAACCGAAGCAACATGTGATTGACAGCCGCTGACATTTCAGACTCTCTTGTGTTGAGAAAAACATTGGTTCAAGAGCGTTGTTGTTTCACAGGCAGGAATGACACGCAAAAAAAAAATTTTTTTTCTTTTACTGCTTTAGTCCCATTTGCTGGATTCATAGGGAATGATTTTTTTTTCTCACCAGTTGTAACTGTGGAAGGAGCAGAGAGATGACATTGACTAATAGGAAACTGCTGCCTCCTTTTAAAAAGGACTTAACAGCTGACAGTCTGATGCTGCTGCTGTGTCTAGGAACCTGGTATTTGTGTGGACTGTGTGTGCGTGCGTGTATTTGTTCGTATGTGTTTTGAATGCAAATACAGAGCTGTTGCCGTGTGGTGCCTATGGGCTGCACCTGACGAACTCATCACTGATGAACTGACTGTAGCTCGGTCCATACCTTGACGTTTCACTAGCGTCTATGAAACAGTGTGAGTATATGCAGACGATATTGTGTTTTTCTTCTTCTTCCTGCTGNAAACGTTACCAGAGTCAAGAATCTTGATGAAGCGGTTCTCAAACTGCCTTTTCTCTAACAACACAGAGTAATTTCCCTGGAGTGGTAGCAGATAGGGTCTCTGCTGGACTGCTGCTGCTGCTGCTGCTGCTGCTGCTGCTGTGGCTATAAACCCAACTTAGTGTGAGGAGTTGGGAAGATTAAAGCCTTCGCAGCTGATGGTAACACGATGTTACACGAAGACGACGCGTGTAAAAATTCTAAAATCACGTCATATTCCTTCTTCCATTCGTTCATTCATTTCGCCAAATAATCCTGGGTTTTAACCAGAGTCAGTTGGTGATAATAATAAAACGTCCACACTCGTATTCAAAGCTTTGGGCAGTTGTGAGCGTCCAATCAGCCGTGTCCCTGAACACTGAGACATTTGTATCAACCGATATCAGCCGTTACTGCAGACCAGTGATGCCGCACCATCGTTGTTGGATCATTAACTCTTTTTCTGTCAGTATCAGAGTCTGAATGACCTTTGACCTGTTGTTTTGAAACATTGACAGATTATCTCTGAATGAGAACAGTAAAGGGACATGACTGGATTCTTTGGAATGAAGTAAATCAGTAAAACTGAAGTACATTGTTTTACTGCGTCCCATTGTGGACCGGCACCAAATGACTTACGGACCTGAGTCTGGTCCCTGGACCGGGGGTTAGGAACCCCTAGTTTGTGGCCCAATGCCATCATTTTGACTTTTTAATTATTTTTTTTTTAACGAATGTCAACATATGTTAAAGTCTGTGTTTTACTTTGTTGGTTTCTGAAAGACTCCAAACATATCTTAGACATATCCGGTCTTATTGACGACAAAGACGTCAATTTAACAAAATATCTGGTTTAAACATATACACGTGCAACACTGGGACCTCACACACACACACACACACACACACACGTGTGAGACCCTGCGCGGTGAATATCAAATCTTGGTGATCTATTAGGCTTGAGTGAGAGCAGCGACCTTGAAAAGGCCAGTCTCGCCTTGTGACTAATGCGGTGTGGCAGCACTCGGCTTGTTTGTGTGAAGACATCGGTCTCACTTTGCATTCGGGTGATCAATGTCGACGCAGCACCTCGGGAGAAAAAAAAAAAAAAAAAAAGTTGTGTTATGATCCCAACCCAGAAAGAAGCTGACGTTGAGACCACGTTAGTGAATTGGTAATTCGTCCTAAAATCTGTTTTAGGACGAGTGCGTCTCTGAGCATCTGTTGGTCGTCTTTCTATGACATTTCCTGTTTGACTTTTGGATTTTCTGCAGGTATCGTATGGCTGCTCATACAGTACCGTATCTATAGAACAGACTTTGAACGAATCTTACATATTAAGAGACTAAGATTTTGTGCTCAAATCCACAGGGAGTCGGGGATAAATAATCTTTATCGTCATTGTTCGTGTCTGTTTCATGACTTCATCAAAACAACCAAAACAACGATGACGTCAAAAATGACCCGGCGTTTGACTCTCGTTTGGCCCGGCCTGAAATTAGGAATTCAGTTCAGCACATGGCCGCATTTTACTTGACGCCCAGGAGGGGGACCTTTAATGCTCTTATGATGAGGTTTGATGTCGTTTCATGGTTGAATTAAAAACAGTAATGGCTCCGTTTAATTCGCCGTCGTGAGGTATTCTGGGCACAGTGGTGTAGATATGTGAACAAAAAAATAGCCATTTTAATCAAGTCATTTAATTAGAAGAGAGAAAAAAAGATTGTATCGCGTCGTACATTCTGATGAAAAGCTGAGCTTTATGACTAACTTTCATGTCATTTTTACTTGTTTTATATTTCACTTCAGAACTATATGAAGGGTTTGGGTGGAGTTGACGAAGTTGGTGATTCTGCTTGTCCTTGAACACATCAAAGATCTCTGATCATCATGAAAGGCATTGTTGTAGTTGTAATTTGTGGTAAACATACTCTCCAACTTTATTATGAGGTAATTAAACGCTTTTCAAGCTCATGCGGACCACATAAAATGACTTGGCGGACCACATTCAGCCCACGAGCCTCAGGTTTGACACAGGCGCTCTGGTAGAACATGTGTTCATGTGTGAATATTTAGACTATGCAACGTTTGACACGTGGTATAGACTTTATCAAAAGGCAATTAAACGCTTTTCAAGCTCCTGCGGACCACATAAAATGACTTGGCGGACCACATTCAGCCCACGAGCCTTAGGTTTGACACATGCGCTCTAGTTGAACATGCTAAACATGCGTGAATATCTGAAGTAGAAACGTTGGTCAGCAGAACAATGGTGACAGTGGCGGAAACGACACGGACACGATCAGTTCGCTGATGAGCGGCGAGTGGAGCCAACGCGCCTGCCCGGAGACAGGCCGACGTAAAGCTGCTGTAATGAGATATTGATCGTGCCACCAAATGAAGAAATTTCCACAGTAATGTCAGTGGCATGCAGTAAGCTGCTGTGATTGATGTGCTGGTCCGGAGCATGAATATTTAACCAGGCGGTGTATGGGATGCTTCCTCCTGTGAAGACCTGTTGTTGACTTTCTGTTTGTCCTTAAAGTCGTCACAGCAAAGATCGGCCTCTGCCGCGATCACATATCAGCTGCAGAAATAAAAAAATGCGTTTGTGACAATGTGAAAAACAATGAAGCAGTTTTGTTAAATTCACAGTTTTAACTGACTACGTTCTTTAATCTGCCTGGGTCCAGTGCTGTGACTGTGACTGTGATTACTAATGTTTGTCACCTGTGATTGGTTCATTTCCTTCACTCTGTCTCTCTGTGCCTCAGCATTACTTTACACTGGATTATTGTTCGTCTCGCCGTCGTTTTTCTTCTTCTGCTTCGTAAGTTTTTTTTTTTTCTCTCGTATTATTCCAAACCTTTGATGACGGTTACGAAAGGTGATACTCTTGCCTTATTTGAAAATGTATTTAGTACAATATTTGTCTTCATTCTAACCAATGATTTTTTTTGTAGAGATAATATCGGCCGACTGATATTATCATCCCGATATTAGCATAATGATGCGAT